CTACGAACTACGGTCACATTATGGGGTTTAACCAAAAATTTGAATTTTTCATGTCTTGCTAATTTGTAAATGAATATAATATAATTTAATTAATGAAAAAATATTAGGTTCTGTTTTTGATAGTTCAGTAAACTAGGCTTTTTGTTGATCTTTTATTTTGTTATTTCACAACTTTGATCCAAAGAGGTTTGACCAGAGAACCAGTGGCCTGCTATGTGGGAAATAAATTTATATCATTTTTACAAAGGTAGGTTCTCCTCAGGTATGGTGGATGCAGCAGACACTGAGCATGAAACTAAATACTCTTGTTTCTACTGGAATAAGATTCAACAGACGACATAATCATAAATCAGTTAAGTTACAAATAATTGATTGCTTTATTAATTTATTCACACCAGATTTATATTTCCTTTAACATTTATAATTAATCAAATAACTGAATCATATTACAAGATTTAGTTTTGTCATACAATTATTTAAGACCTTTGCCACATGCCTGCTGAATTAACTTGCCTGGTTCATACTAACTGGCCTATAGATTGGTCTACTTTACGGATAACGCAAACACTAACTAGTGTATTTAAACTTCTTTATCTAATTGTGTGGTCATACAACGTATGGTGACTGGGTGTCGGAAAATCCGACACCATTTAATAATATCATACAGGCAGATAATATTGCTGTGTTGTATAAACAAGTTAACCCATAGAAAATGTAACTTGTAGTGGAATTTCCGTCTATAGAAAACGGGATATCATTACCACATACTATTGTAAATTCACCACCTATTATGGTGGGAATTATTCTTAAATACATTAGTCTTTGGACTTTACCATCATAAAAACATCTCATATAAATTAACTTAATTATCAGAATTAAAATAGAGTAAATGTGACCCTTCTATCACTTACTGTCATCTGGACAATGTAGGCCAGTAGCGTCAGTGAGGAGGGAGTGGTCAGCCATTGTTGTTAAGACCACAGAGTCGTGGAGCAAATTCGGCTCCTATAAATTCTCTTGGACGAAGTGTTATGGAAGATCAGAGTAGTGATCTGCCATCATCAACACGCTGTCATCAATCTCAAGGGAAGTGTCTTTCCGAAACCCGTTTATCTAATCATTTTTGGCCATTAATGTCAGTAGATAGGGCGTACTGGTTAGAACACGAATGATCGACTCAAATAAGGTAATTAAGCCTAGGTCTTTATGGTTCCTTGTACAGTGTTTTCTCTGATATAGCTGTCATATATTAGGATTCTGGCTTTACAGCTACAGCCCTTTTGACAGGTCAAGACGAGGAAGCATGCTTTGTGCATCAGTCACCAGGGGATGGAAGCCACCTCACACGAGGAAAATTTGGTGTCTACACCCTAGTTATACCTGGTGGACTAAGGCCTGCTGTACAAATAAGATAAGGAACCTCTTCAATGTATGTAGTCTAATACTGTAGTTTGATTGGCTGCATATATATAAATTCAATATAAACCCCCCCTAATGTGCAGAGGATCGATTTGTGAGATTATTGCAGAAATACAGTCCACTTAACATCATACAAATTGCTATCGAAGTATACAAATTAACGTAAATATAAATTCTATATAAATTCATATAAATTAAATAAATATAAATCTCACAGGTCGGTTCCCACACTGGGAGTCTAATGAGCTTGGATAAAGAGTTGTAGAAATAATAAATTTATCATGCATGTGTGTGTATAAATCACGAAATTAACACATGATAAATAACGTGATCAATTTTAATGACGAAAGAAAATGAAGCAATAAATTCCTTAAGTACAAGACATCAGAAGAAGAAAGAACATTACAATTCAGTGGCAGGAGATATATAGGCAGGAGGGATACACGTGCAGTGATTATCAACGTCTGTAATATTGGGTCATGTACATTACAACAAGAGGAAACAGCAGAAATCGACAATACTAATGAGATAGTAATATTATTGATCTTACTCAAAGCGGATTTCAAATGATTAATTAAATGATTGAATGAATGGATCTCAAGCGCATGTCTCACTATAGCTCTATGACCTCATATGACCCCCTCATGACCCGGGCATGATTACAGATGAGATGAAAAAACTTTGCCCAGAACATGCCATGAATGTCGGGAGTTGATGGTTATGAAACTTATGCAGATAAGTTCCATGGTGAACCAACACTTATAGACGATCGTTGGTGCAGTCGTAATGGTACTGGTACTATTGGTGGGGAGACCCCTGAAGTACAAAGGTTCGAGTCCTCTGAGGAATCATAGAGTTATAGCGATATATATATCACCATGAAAAAGACACAGTAAATCCGAGAATATATCGTGTATTAACACATTTGCAATTTAAAAAAACAAATTTCATGTGAGATTATATAAACACAACACATAAGCAGATTAGCATTATTAATGGAGTTAGTTGGCTTCCAGAGATGGTAAATATTTCCACTTTCTATTTCTGACATATCTGATTAATTATGAATCGAATTTACGTTATCTGTGGCTTATATTTATATTTCAATATTCACTACAATTCTACAAGAAGATTCAGTTCTATTTATCTCAATAATTGATTTAATTACCGGAATTTTTTATAATAAATACAGCCAGTTGTATGATTTGAAATTCTCGAATGAATATACACTGAACTGGAGTTTTGGCCAGTCATCATTCAAGGGGTGCAGTGTTAATTGTATAGGTGCCGGAGCTCTGGTGAACCTGACAAAAGCCTGTTATTTCCTATCCTGTTTCACTATGTCTCACGATTAAGTATTTCGTGTTTGTACTCACTAATTATCTTAAAATATAAATATCAAACAAATAAAGAAAAAACTCTATCATGTATTTATCAACTTAAGAAGTTAAAACACTTAGTGCTCACAAAATACAACCTGTGAGAAGTTTCACAATAGTTTCCACACAGGGTCAGGTGCGAGATGTTGTCAGGGGTGTGAAGCAATTCGTGTCCTGGTGTCATCTGCTGATCTGCGGTACCGCAGCAATGATATGGCATATGGCTCAGGATTCCATTGAACTAGAGGAGGTCCATGTAGCTTAACAAACATAAGTGCTGATACATGATTCATGAGAATCATGTATAACATTGCGTATTGATGTTATTATCAAGTTCATGTGACTGAATCCCCTCTCGCTCAGCAGTACTAACAGGAATAACTGTAAACAGCTCAGTAATGGGTGTAAATCTGGAGGATGCGGTGTCCATGATCCTCCACATAGTCTCTAAAGGCATTGGTGCAGAGTAAGAATAAAGATTAAACCTCTTACAGAGAGATAATATTTAATCTAATCCGAAATTAGGTGGTATTTCATTAGGCCAGTAGTCTTTTTCAAGGACACACATTTCACTTAGCAGTGATTTTACATACTTTGAGGTTTAAAAGTTTGAACAGAAGTTCAAAACCATGGTTTCGTTTTTTTCGTCCACATTTCTTCACTCCAAACACCTGAACAGGGATACAATATTAGACTTCAAAGTACCATTTCATTGCGAATTGCACATGGATCCAGTTTGAAAATTTGAACTAGTCGAAACACAACTTTTGTAACTTTTACTGCTATCATTATCAGTCTCCTGTACGTTATTCTTCTTACACTCCTCGTATGCTTACGAAAGAAGAAAGTCAACATTGTTTGCTTAGAAGCCATGATGGGGTTGTTTGTGAGAAAAAATACTTCTGTGTTAGAGAGAAATCCACAGACCACCAGCCACCACTTTACTAATGCCACTGAAACACAGAACCACAGTTGCCAGCTCAATATTTCACACGACGCTAGAACAACCCCAAAAAGCACCAAATTATGTAAAGTTGTGTGTAGCAGCTTTGCCGTTTTACCTGCCTAGTATTAAACACTAAAATATACTATTGCATGAATAAAGAATACTTTTCTAATGAAGTGCTGCTAAAGCCATGAACATTATTGCTGAATATTTGTATCCAAGGCTTTAGGTTGGCAACTTTGTCTCATACAGTTTGTCTGGCATATATGGACAGGAAGCGTTCACGAGCGTCGGGTATTTTGTTTCCACATTCCTCCCATTACAGTTCAGTATGTGAACAAGCCTGAATGGTCCCCAGGACAATATGCAACTGAACACCCCAGAAGTGACTCGAACCCATACTCCCAGGAGCAACGCAACTGGTATGTACAAGACGCCTTAATCCACTTGACCATCACGACCGGACATAATGAGGTGATAGCCTCAGCTATTTGAACCACCCCACCGCCGGCACTCGGATAGTAATCTTGGGCATAGCATTTTACCAAATCACCTCATTCTTTGGGGCACACGTGAGGAACACAAATGCGAACAAGCCTGAATGGTCCCCAGGACAATATGCAACTGAAAACTCACACCCCAGAAGTGACTCGAACCCATACTCCCAGGAGCAACGCAACTGGTATATACAAGACGCCTTAATCCACTTGACCATCACGACCAGACATAATGAGGTGATAGCCTAAGCTATTTGAACCACCCCACCGCCGGCACTCGGATAGTATGTTTACTTGTTAAATATATAAAAAATTAAATATTATTGAATCTTTAACCCATGAAGAATTATCATAACATTTTTAACTTATTAGTGATGTAATACAAATATTTTCCTGCAACGATCAACGATCACCCACAAGTCATCATCTCCCTTTCCCCCTCATCCTCTCCATTTTCCCTCATTCCATCATCCACTTGCAGAGGTGCTGGAGTGGCGCTACGGCGAGCTCCAGCAGCACTGTACCACTGCATCAATCTGCAGTTATGGAATTTTCTGCTCTGGTCAAGGTGGGTACCAATTCGTCTACAAAATTTATTAAAAATTTTAAAAGTATTTTGGCACCACACCCATTGCAGTTACAAAGATAATTTTTCATAAATATTTTGTTTATATCATGTTTCCTTAATTCTACACATATATAATTTATTTTAAGTAATTTAATAGTTGCTTTAATATTTTCATGAAACTGATGAGCTAGTTTATCATTCACTATGTATTCTTTATTTTTCAAACAGAAGAAAATATTTTGGTCAATTTGAGAGATCTTTTTTTATGGTCTTGGGATAGAGAATAACACGGCTTTCGTCAATGATTTTGAGATCCAAAAAAATATGTTGTTCAAAGACAATCGAAGATGAAATTGCTATCATGTACTGTATAATCACAAAATCAAATTCCTCAAGTCTTTCTTAAAAAAAGGCTTTCAAATTTCTCAATAAACTTTCTTCAAGTTAAATAAAAAGTCGGTCGATCATCTACTGCTCTGCAGTCTTCATCACCAATTTATTGCTAGGAATGTTCTTGAGGTTGTCGAAGAAGGCGAGGTAATGGTTGGCGCGCTCCGGGTAGAGCAGTTGGTTGTGGCGGGTGGGGAGGGAGGCCCAGAACTGACGAGCCTGGTGGGAAGAAGAAGGTAGTGTGTGTCAGTCAGCACATAGCACCATATTTTGCTCTATTTTCAAATTAGCTCTTGAGAAAAATCTAAGTAATTATTATCAAATGCAGGCACCAAGACTGTTTAGCACCATCGTTGTTGTTAGATACTCAAAAGGCATTAAACATCACTTTCGATGCCAATATGAGAACGAAAGCACAAAAGGCAAGCAACATCATAGGTTCACCACGGATTTCATTGATAGACAAAAGGCTTCGAGGAACATTAGGAAAGAAAGACACACGATCGTCCTGGAAATGGATTATTCTACAAGGTGGTGCATAACTGTGATTGGGACAGGGCAGTTTGTACAATAAGGAACAGGGCAGCACTCCATTAGGTGCCAGTGAGTTAAGCGTGTATGGTCAATACTTAACCAAGCAAAAGCCGTTACTCAGCGTCTATTACGGTGATAACAGGAAGGCCAAGGGGACAGGCTACCCTTAAGAGCACGCAGTTCGTTAGCTGTAACACCAACTAACGACCCTGCCAATGGTCATGGGTTGAGGAATAAATGACTGGGTAGAAATCTGAATAAGTAATACCTTTTTGGAAAAAATAGGACAAATGTGAAAAATTCCTTAGTGGTAGCATCCACACTGTCATTTAAGCAGCCCATCCTCATAAAGTTACCCAACGTCAAGAAAACGGTAAATTTAAAGTGTCCTCCCTTAACCTACCAGAGGACCCAAAACAGAAAAACGGAGAAGTACGTCACTTTCTCGAGCCGCTTTTAGTTTCTAGTTCGACAGTTTCTGGCCTTATGTAACGCATACAATCGAAATGCGACGCTCTTTGTAGGACAGGATGATATAAGATAATACCAATATGACTAGGAACCTAGACAATCTCCAGTGTTAACTCTTCTAGAGACAAGAAACAACCTTTATTGGATTTCAGCTACCACAGGATGCATAGGATTAAATAACTCCGAAACCCTGAGTGCACTGCAAGGGTCAACCAACCACTGCGAGGGGTCAAAGGTGATCATAATAAAAGAATGTTGACACCAGAAAAGTAGTAGGCAAAGAGCATTCAAAACTGCATACAATTCCACTGCAAAGATGCTAGTTTCTAGTGGCACGGGACACATTAAGATTTGTTCAGGAAACACAATAGAGTTGCCTACATCGTCGCAGACTTAGACCCATCTCTGAATTATACAGTTCACAATGAAGTCTGAATGGGAAGAAAGGTATCAAGGAAATGGCATTTCTGAGCAGTGGCAATGGTAGAAGTTTTTTGCAAGAAGATACTTGCAAAGCTATTCAAGTGGGAACCTCCATGGGTAAAAGAATGGAACGAAACGAGAAGACATTGGCAATACGACCTGACAGGGAAGCATGCAAGTGACACATCCTTACAGAAAAAGGAACATGGTGGAAGGGAAAACAACCAAGCATGGCATAAACAAGAAATATGATGTTGCAGAGACCTTGCGAGGTAGCGAAGACTGTAACGATAACGACGATCGTATAGAGACAGGACGCCGGATTCAACATGCAGGCTCTAGGATGGGGAAGAACGAAAGGCACCAGAGCTGAAATTAACCCAGTATGGTGAAGAACATCTAGACGACGAAAGGTCGAAAGAGAGTCAAAGGATAAGGCAGGACAGCCATAATCAACTTTAGACAGCAAGAGAGTGGAGTGCAAATAGAGGAGCGTGTCTATCAGCTCCCCAGGAAGTATGGACAAGACTTGAAGTAAGGTAAGGGCCTTAGAGCATTCCACTCGGAGGTAAGAAATATGGGGCGACCAAAACAAATTAGTGTTAAAGATTAACCCTTAATGTGGGTTACTCAGGAGTTTAATTCAATGGAAATTACAATTCAATATAGCGATTCAATTAAGCTGAATCTTTATTCAGAAGGGGACAAACATAGAGCGAAAATGTGTGACGAAGAACGACCTGCTTCCAATTACACGTCATAATACAAGTCTTATTCATGGAGACCCTTGTGAGAGATTTGTCTCAGCGTACTAACTCATTACTTGCAATGACACTTGAATTAGTTAAATCCGTTAATTGGTATCCAAAGTAAGTAAGTAATTATCAAAAGAAGGCACTAAACCGGGAAGGCTATATAGCACCATCAAATGTGCGGGATAATCAGAGGGCGCTAAATATCACCAAGGATGCCAGTACGAGAACAGACACGCATAAGGGGAACGATATCAAAAGTATCTGAGTCACCATGAATACTATCGAGGGACTAGCGACGGCGGGGGACGGTCGGAAAACAAGACACATGCTCGTCCCGGAAGTTAGGACATTCTACAAGGATATGCACGACAGGGACAATGCAATTTGGACAATAAGGAGCAGGAGCGACGCTCCATCAAGTGACCATAAGTTAAGCGAGTATGGCCAATACGTAACCTCGCCAGTGACCTTTCCTTCGCCTGTTACGGTGGCAGGAGGACGACTACGAGGACACACAACTCTTAAGAGTACGCAGTTTGTTACTAGTAACAGAAGACCAACAAGCCTGCCAGCGGGTAAGGATGGAGGAATGGATAACCGGGTAAAAGTCGGAATAAGGAATATCTTTATGAGAGATGGGACAAGAGCGGACAGCTTCCCTGGCGGCAGCATCCGCACGCTTATTTAAAGTGACACCAATATGGCTGGGAATCCAACAAAACTCAACCGACTTAAATTTACTGTGAACAAGAAACAGCCAATGCTGGATCTCGACAACCACTGGATGAACCGGATTAAAGAACCTGAGAGCCATGAGGGCACTACGAGAGTCAACAACAACTACAAAGGAAGATTGACAACGAGAAAGCAGGAGACGAAGAGCATAGAAAATAGCATAAAATTCAATTCCGCTGTGAAGATGCTAGTCTCCGGAGGTAAGCGACACATAAGAGCGATCAGGAAAAACAACAGAGTAGCCTGCACTGTCCGCAGACTTAGACCCATCGGTGAAGACGGAAACGGAGCGGGAGTGAGAAGAAAAGTGCTGAAGGAAAAGGCGTTTTAGAACTGTAGGAGGGGTAAAAACTTTAGTGATGCGGGTTAAGGATGTACAAAATTGTGGAAGGGGGACTCTCCACGGGGGCAAAGAAGGAACAACACTTACCACTTATGTAAGACCAATCCTGTAGTATGCAGCTCCAGCCTGGAGTCCATACCTAGTTAAACACAAGACAGAGTTAGAGAAGATTCAGCGGTATGCCACCAGGCTCGTCCAGGAACTGAGAGGAATGAGCTACGAGGAAAGGCTAAAGGAGCTGAACCTCACATCCCTGGAAAACAGAAGAGTAAGGGAAGACATGATAACCACCTACAAAATTCTCAGGGGAATTGACAGGGTGGACAAAGACAAACTCTTCAGCACGGGTGGGACACGAACAAGGAGACACAGGTGGAAACTTAGTACCCAGATGAGTCATAGAGACGTTAGAAAGATTTTTTCAGTGTCAGAGTAGTTAATAAATGGAATGCACTAGGAAGTGATGTGGTGGAGGCTGACTCCATACACAGTTTCAAATGTAGATATGATAGAGCCTAGTAGGCTCAGGAATCTGTACACCAGTTGATTGACAGTTGAGAGGCAGGACCAAAGTGCCAAAGCTCAGCCCCCGCAAGCACAATTAGGTTAGTAGGTGAGTACGAGGAGAAATATTAGAAATACGAACTGAAAGAGAATCCTGTAAGCGAGATAACTGGACAGAAAGAGGGAGGTGGTGAAGAGGAACAGGAACTGCCGGAGGGGCAAAAGTTAAAGCACGACAGAGGCGAGAGGAAGGATGTTACAAGGACCACGCAAGATAGCGAAGTCAGTAGCGATCACGGGGGTCCTGGAGAGATAGGAAGCCAGTGTCAACATACAAACTGAGAACGGGAGTCGAACGAAAGGCACCTCAGTATGGTGCAAAGCATCAAGACGGCGAAGAGTAGGAGAAGCAGACTCAAAGAGACAGGTGTTGACGGCGACGACCACGGGGGGGACGAGTAAACGAGTCTACCTGGAGGACAGAATGGCCCTGGGCATCGAGGATATGACGAATGTCTTCGTGGCAGTCCTGGAGATTCCGAACACCGGTAGCAACATGGGGTGGGAGGAGAATAATGCCAACACTGGCATTCAACTGAGCGTTCTTGGAGAGCCGAACAGGGGTCTCGCCAAGGCAGGACAAGGCGGCCAAGCAGGAGGCTGCATCCTGAGAAGGAGCAGCAACGACACGTACACCGAGATGGGTGGGGTGGAAAGTAATAAAGGCATCTACGGAATCAACAAGGTGCCTATGGAGGGAGAAATCGTCAGGAGGCGCAGAATCAAGAAGAAGGAGAGCAAAGTATTTGGCCCACGAAGCGGGACCAAACAAGGCTTGATACGCATCAGTACGGGAAGGAATCGAACGAGTGCGGCCGTGTCGAGGACGGCGTTGAGAACCCCCAGAGAGAGAGAGGAGTTAAAAGGTGCAGTAGTCACAACTAGAGATTGAGCCGTGCCAGGGGACGAGGTGGTCACCACTGGGGGCTTGGGGCTCGAGCCAACCACTGAGGAAGGAGGAGAGCCGAGGAAAGTAGTCAGGAGGGTCAAAGGAGAAGCAAGCTCGAGGCCAAATGCAGCGGGGGCTACAGAGCCCGGTCTTCCAACACGCTCTGACTCGGGGGCTTGATCGCCCACCCTCGAGCCTGAGAAGGTAGAAGAGGAACGGAATTAGACATAAGGACGAATAGAAAAACATTCATTCATGAATGTGCCCCCATACCCACCATGGAGCCACAATTAGAGGCAGGACACCCATCAAGAAGCTATCGCCGATCATGCCGGGGCCTCCTAGGGGTGCGTCGTGAGTATACGCCCCACAAACGCCACCTTAAGAACCGTTAGTCCGTCGAGATCGGGTTCAGTGACGAAAGGGGGATTGACAATAAAAGGTTCCCCTCGCTCTCGACGTCGGGTACTACAGTTCTACGGGTGCAAGAGTATGCCTCCTCAAG